AGGGGGACGATCTCACCGGCCAGATCCCGCCCAATTTCTAAGTTTTGGTTTGGGGACTTGGTGGAGCCAACATGTCTCTTGGAGGAATTCGAAATAAACATCTGAGAATCAGCTGAAGGGGATAGGCTATCAAACTCCCAAGGAAATCCATCGGACGAAAGGAGGGAAGTTGAAGGATTCGGCTAGTCGCTTCGGCTGGTCGTATGAGCGACTAGCCTCACGAGTGGGAGACGGGGGGCTGGTCGATCAAGCAGCCCCCCGACCAATCGCACTGGTCGAGTGATCAGCGTGCTGGTCGATTGATCAGTACACACTGGTCGAGCGACCAGCGGACTGTTCGATCGACCAGCTCCACCCCAGCGACGAACAAGGCGGGTCACTACACGGCGACGTGAAGCCATCGACCCCCTGGGGACGCTCTACCTTCACGTGAGGCCATCAACCTCCTGGTGGTGCTCTACCTCTACACGAGACCGTCAACCCCCCGGGGGCGCTCTACCTTTACGCGAGGCCATCTACTCCCCGGAAGTGACTTATGTGGCCATCCCAACACTTAGTCAAAAATTCAGGTAAATTGACAAAGCTCCATGACGGTTATTATGGGCACAACCTTCAGGCGGGCAGTTGAAAATCCCCCATGAGAACGTGGGTCAGTGGGGAAGCCAACGTGGGACACGTGGCACCACGATCACCCGAAACCTACCCGGCTTCCAACACCTATAAATACCCCCGAAGACGACACAGGCAAGGGGATTTTTCGACATTTTCTAGCTATCTGAATTCCATCCTTATTTCTCGTCACGCACATACTGATTCTCACGGCGGAGGTAAAATGGGGGAGAAAGCCCCGCTCTCACTTTTCAGGTTATACCCGTTCACCGGAGTAGCAGGAAAGCCATCGGCCACCAAGTAGATTAAGAGGTATTATTCCACCACCATTTCATTATTATTATTATTATTATTATTGTTATTATTATTATTATTATTATTATTATTATTATTATTATTATTATTATTATTATTATTATTATTATTGCCAAAACTATCGTTGCAATATTCTAATGGGAGTCAATTTTGTCTGTTCAATTTAGATTTATTGAAGTAATGAAGAAGTTTAATTTTCTCTGAGCTTGAGGTTAGGGCTGAACTCTGGGAAAGTTTGTAATCATGTATTTTAATAATTTATTCGGACAATATATAATTAAGAGTTCTTTATTTTAAAACATGATTTCTAATGATTTTTCAAAAAGTTCCTTAATATTAGTGTATTTATGTAATTTCCTATACTATTATTCTTATAAATTTGTCAAATGGAGGTTAAATTGAGACTTGAAAAAGAACCTATCTTTTTCGATACCAAAAAAAAATAGAGAGAGAAAATTTATTACAGTTACAATGTTGAACGGTCTCAAGCCCACTAGAGCCCAAGATCTGTCCAAGCAACCCAAAACTTAAATAGTTTCTATTTAGGTACTTGAAATATTGAAAATATCTCCTCAGTAATTTAGGGAACAAAATCAATTGAAAATAAATAAAAAAATTATCAAAAATGCTTTTGTGCATGATTTAGAACTGCATATTATTTATCATAGCTGGGATATCAAACAAAACCCATGAGGAATACCAACGTAGAAATGATTGGCTAAATAAAAGGATAAAATTCAAACGAAATTAAAAGAAATATGAATCATTTTCGTAAAGACCCTTTAAAATAAATGATTTTTTAATTGTGATTAGATAAAAAAGTGAATAATCTTGTTAGTCTAACAATGCATGAAAGATGATAGACGTTTAATAAATGTAATTATACTCAACTCGTATGCCACAACAATAGGGATTTAACTATGCTTGAAGCATATATTCAATTTTCCTAGAAACTTACGCAATCTAAGTGCAAATATACTTTGCAAATTTGAATTATGAGATAAGTGCATTTTGTGCGCTTATTTAGACCATATTATTAAGTTTTTATGTCACGAAAGTGTTGATTCTTACTTAACTTGAGTAATTTTTTGTTTATTTCAGTAATAGACCAGTTCCTAAGCAATTGGAAAAGAAAAAAGGGAAAATCCAAGTATGAGGACTAAATTGCAATATTTCAATAGTTGATTCGGATCACAAAATGAAGATTAAAGATGTTGCAGGTTCAATTGGATGCAATTAAAAGTCAAGGGTTGAAAATGCAAGAGAAAGGGCTTGAAATAATCAAAAATTGACTTCGGGGGTTAAAATGCAACATATGGAAGAAATTTTGCCTGAGCGACAGCCCAGTTATAAATATCGAGCGATCGCCCAAATGATTTTTTAATTATCAAGAAAAAATTCTTGTCCTGAGCTATTACCCGAGTTTTGCCTAGGTGATAGCCTAAGCCAATCGCGGCAAGAAAATTTGGTTTCCTTTTCTAAATGAAATTCTTAAGAAAACAAATCTTGGAGAGTCTTTTAAAGCCCTAGGGACGTCCAAAAACATGGACCACGCATTATACATTATTTTGGGAGGATTTGAAGAGAAAGAAGACAGAAGAACAAGAAGATTTAATCCAAGATTCAAGGTCTCACTTCAAGAATTTCAATAGGGTAATGTCTTTTCTTGATTTTTATTGTTGTGTTCTTCTTCCCATCATGTTAGGCTAGAAAAATCTATTCTAGGAGATCGATGAGCCTTGTAATGTGATATTTAATTCTTTGTTCCGTATTTTGACATTAAAATACGTATTGATTGTTTGAATGATTTATATACATTTAATTGCTTCCATGATTATGAGCCCATAGTTTTGTGAGTTTTGGTGGTTTGTTTCATCTATTCGAAAGAAGAGGAATAAATTCGACAAGGTATAAATCATCGTAGGATCCGATAGGAGATAGAAATATATCCCTATGCTTTGCATGAATCTCTAAGTACTCACAAAACTACATACATTCTTGTATATTTGAATCCGTCATAGAGATATAGGCTGGTGGTGTATGAGAATAGGTATAATTCATCTCGAGAGAAAGTCTTGGATAGATTTAGGAGTATTGATTCTTCAAAATTCCATCGTGTTGTCAAAGTGTGGAATTAAGGTTAAATTAAACATTATTTGGGAATTCGTGATCCTAATATATCTCACATTCATTGAATACATTTAACTTGTGTCTCAAACATCAAATTGCATTTTAGTTAATTTAAACATTGTGTAGCATAGTATACCATCCAATTCATAATATTGGTACTTTAGCTTAGATTTAGGATTTCTTAGGATAAAAACTCAAAAATGATCACTTAGATTCGATTAAGGCCGAGATAAATACAATTGAACTACTTAATCTCAGTGGGACGATATTCGAATTCTAAAAATCCATTTTATTACTTGTTAACAAGCCGTACACTTGCGGTGATTTAAATCGAAAGAAAATATTTCGTGAACAAGTTTTTGGCGTCATTGACAAGGATTGAGTTTAGTTTGATCTTATTTTTCTAGGCACTAACTCGAACTTGAATTTTAGTTTCTCTATTCGTTTATTTTGTGTTTGTTTTGTTTTTGAATTCAATCTATCTCTTTAATGTCTAAGTGATATTCTTGTTTTTCTCTCAGATTTGCATGCTAAGTTATACTCGAGGAGAATAGATTCCATCCGATCCTGAAATTGAGCGCACTTTTCATCGACTACAAAGAGAGAATAGAGAAGCAAAATTGCAAATGGCTAACGAACTAAACAATCCTATTATCCCAACCAATGAAGGAGAGGCAGTGAACGAAGGAAATGAGATTTTGGACGACTTCTTGACTCCTCAAGTGATTCAAAACCAGTCCAACATTGTGTATCCACCATTTGGGCAACCCAATTTTCAATTGAAGACTAATGTGATACAGCTGTTCTAGAATGGGCATCAATTTTATGGCAGAGCCGAAGAAAATCCACATACACACATATCTCGATTCTTGGATATGTGTCAACACTTCAAATATCGAGGAATCTCGGATGATGCTATTAAGCTAAGGCTTTTTCTACACACCTTACGGGACAAGACACTTGAATGGTTGGATTTGCTTCCTATTGCAAGCATCACTACTTGGAATGACCTGGCTCACAAATTCTACATGGAGTACTTCTCACTGGCCAAGATAGCTAAAATTAGACACGAATTATCCATTTTCAACCAGGGAGAATCCGAATCATTTGACAAAGCCTAGAACAGATTCAAGAATATGCTCCAGAAGTGCCCTCAACATGGGTATGACAAAAGGACCCAAATTCGATTTTTCTATACAGGGTTACTTCCGTACCACAAAAGCATTGTGGACTCAGCATCAGATGACTCAATATCCACACGAACATTAATGGGGCACTGGAATTATTTGAGAAAATGACAACTACTTCAGCGATGTGGGCATCTAAGCGGATGACTTAGAAAAAACCTCCGAGTGTTTATGAGGTCGATACTTATTCAGCTAAGATTGACTCGTTGTTTCACAAGGTAGAAAGCATATCACAAATAGCACAAAATAAGAAGATTAGTTGTGAAGAATGTGGAGCTGAGTATAAAACATCAGAGTGTCCAATTTTAATGCAAGGAGTTGAGCAGGCAAATTTTGCCACGCCAACAGAACAATCAATATGGGGAAATATACAATAATAGTTGGAAGAAGCATCCCAATTTCTCTTGGAGCAATTAGAATCAGAATAGGCTGCAGGGTCAGTTTCAACAGTAAGAGAAGAAGCCTCAATTGGAAGACATGTTCAGAAAATTCATAGGGAGGACCAATCAATACATGGAGAAAACAGAAATCACTCTTCAAAACCAGAATGTTGCCATCAAAAACTTGGAAACTCAAATGGGACAGATGGTCATTGCTTTGACTAGAAGAGCATAGGGAAATTTGCCAAGCAACACGGAAATCAACCCAAAAAAGCATGCCAAGGCCATCACAACTCGAAGTGAATTACAGCTACCTGATATACATGTCAAAAGGCCAGTTAAGAACAAAGAGACTACACCTTCTATAGAAGAAGAAACTATGGAGCAGGATGAACAACCAAAAACATCCATCGCAAAGGAAAGCTCAGAAAAAGCAGGGAATAAAGCAACAGTTACAGTCAACCCATATGAACCTCCAATTCCATTTCCACAGAGGTTGAAGAAACACAAAATGGAGCAACAGTACAAGAAATTTCTGGAAGTCTTCAAGAAACTCCACATCGACATCCCGTTCGCCGATGTATTAGTCCAGATGCCCAGCTATGCTAAATTCCTAAAGGATGTCCTATCTAATAAACGCAAGCTGGAGGAACATGAGATGATAATGTTGACAGAAAAATGCAGTACAAGAATTCAGAAAAAGCTTCCGTCAAAATTGAAAGATCCATGGAGTTTCACAGTCCCTTGTACTATTGGTGAAGTTTATTTTTATAAAGCTTTGTGGGACTTTGGTGCAAGTATTAATCTTATGCCTTTATTTGTTTTTAGGAGACTCGATTTAGGCGAGGCTAAGGCGACTACCGTGACGCTGCAATTAGCTGATAGGTCATTGACACATCCCAGAGGAATAATAGAGAACGTGCTGATTTTCTCATCTTGGACATGGAAAAAGACAAAGACATTCTGTTGATATTATGCAGACCATTCTTGGCTATCGATAGAGCTTTAATTGACGTTCAAATGGGACAACTAATTTTGAAACTTGGAGAAGAACGGATCTCATTTAATGTCTTCAAGGCTATGAAACTTCCTACAGAGTCAGATAGTTGCTTCCAAATTAATGTAATCGATAAGGTAGTTCAGGACACGTTTCGACTTAAGGTTCAAAAGATGCTTATAAGGCATACATTGCACAGTCTCAATCAATTCACTCAGATTCTGTGGAGATTGAAACATGTGCAAGGTTCTTGGAGACTAATCCGCCCTACACAAGGAAAAGGCACTTTGAGGAGCTTGGAGTGGGATCTAAAAAGCTACTACCATCCATTCAGAAGCCACCTCATTGGAACTTAAGCAATTGCCACCACATCTCCAATATGCATATCTGGGGAACTCTTGTACACTTCCAATGATTATCTCTAACAACGTCAATGAAGTGGAAGAAGAAAATATCTTAGAGTGCTTCGGGAAAAAACGATGGTGATTGGATGGACCATAGCAGATATCAAAGGGATCAGCCGTTCACTCTGTATGCACAAGATTCTCATGGAAAATAATTTTCGACCGAGTATTGAAAGTCAAAGAAGGTTGAATCCGAACATGAAGGAAATGGTCAGGGCAGAGGTACTTAAATTACTAGATGCAAAAATTATCTACCCAATCTCAGACGGCACATGGATCAGCCCAGTTCAAGTTATGCCGAAGAAGGGTGGAGTCACAGTGGTATATAATGAGAAGAATGAGCTAATTCCCACCATAACAGTGACGGGATGAAGGGTTTGCATCGATTATAGCAAACTCAATGCAACTACAAGGAAGGATCATTTTCCACTCCCGTTTATTGATCAAATGCTAGAGAGACTGGCGGGGTATTCACATTATCGTTTCCTTTATGGGTATTCTAGCTATAATCAGATACCAGTTACACCAGATGATCAAGAGAAGACCACCTTCACTTGTCCCTACGGTACTTTCACATACCGTAGGATACCTTTTGATCTTTGCAACGCTCCTGCAACATTCCAGCGATGCATGATGGCGATATTCTCCAATATGGTAGAAAATTTCATTGAGATATTCATGGATGACTTCTCAGTTTTCGGATCATCATTTGATGAGTGCTTGGAGCACCTGAATTTGGTGTTACAGAGATGCAAGGAGACTAATCTGGTTTTGAATTGGGAGAAATGATACTTTATGGTTAAGGAAGGGATTGTACTTGGACATCGAGTGTCATCGAAGGGAATTGAGGTGGATAAAGTGAAGATTCAAGTTATTGAAAATCTACCGCCATCAACATCAATTAAAGGGGTTTGTAGTTTCTTGGGACATGCCGGGTTTTATAGGAGATTCATCAAGGACTTCTCAAAAATTACTAAACCACTATGCAATATGTTGATGAAAGACGTACTGTTTGAGTTTAATGAGGAATGCCTAACAACTTCCAATACATTGAAGGAGAAATTCACAACAGCACCGATAATTGTAGCACTAGATTGGGAACTGCCCTTTGAGCTAATGTACGACGCCAGCGATCATACCGTAGGAGCCATGTTGGGACAGCGATGAAATAAGGTTTTTCATGTGAGTTACTATGCAAGCAAAAATTTAAATGATGCACAAATCAACTATGCTACCACTAAGAAGGAGCTCTTAGCCGTAGTTTTTGCATTCGATAAATTCAGATCATATCTCGTAGGGTCTAAAGTTATAGTCTCCACAGATCATGCCGCACTGAAATATTTGATAACAAAGAAGAATGTAAAGTCGAGACTGATCCGCTGGGTATTACTCTTACAAGAATTTGACATCGAAATCAGGGACAAAAAAGGGAGTGAGAATGTGGTGGCAGATCACTTGTCTCAATTGGAGTTCGAAGAACCGAAGAAATTAGTGAACATCAACGAGATTTTTCCCGATGAGCAAATGTTCAGTGTTGAAGAAGCACCGTGGTATGCCGATATTGAAAACTATTTGACCAAGTCCATTTCACCACCAGATTACTTAAGTTACCAGAGGAAAAAGTTCTTCTCGGAGTTAAAATACTACTTCTATGAAGATCCTATTCTCTACAGGCGCGGGACAGATCAGATTGTTAGGAGATGTGTACCTTAAGAAGAAGTACTGGATATTCTTGAGCATTGCCATTCGTCTGCATATGCGGGGCACTTTGGAGCTTCCAAGTATGCTGCGAAGGTTCTACAGTCGGGGTTTTACTAGCCTACATTATTCAGAGACGTCTTTGAATTTGTGAAGATGTGTGATAGGTGTCAGCGCATTGGGAATATCTCACGGAGAAATGAAATGCCATTAAACAATAAATTGGAGGTTGAGATATTTGACGTTTGGAGAAACGACTTCATGAGGCTGTTTCCATCATCGTTCTCCAATCAATACATACTGGTGGTTGTTGATTACGTTTCGAAGTGGGTGGAAGCTATTGCATTACCTACTAAAGATATGAAGATGGTAATTAATTTTCTAAAGAAGTGCATTTTCACTCGCTTTAGCACACCACAGGCGATAATCAATGATGGGGGCAAACATTTCTGCAATCACCAGTTTGAATAGTTGTTGACTAAATATGGAGTTAAAAATCGTGTAGCTACCTCATATCATCCATAGACTAGCGGGCAAGTTGAAGTTTCCAATCGGCAATTGAAGAGAATACTTGAGGTGACAGTGAATTCATCTCGAAAGGATTGGTCTAAAAATGCATTGTAGGCTTATAGGACAGCATTCAAGACATGGATAGGTATGTCGCTTGATTTTTGGAAAAGCATGCCACCCTACCACTAGAGATAGAACACCGGGTATATTGGGCTATGAAACAGTTGAACATGGATTTGAAAGCCGTCGGTGAAAAGCGTTTACTGCAGCTTAATGAGTTAGATGAATTCAGGATGGAAGCATATGAAAACTCAAGGCTCTACAAAGAATGAACCAAGAAGTTGCATGACTTGCATATTCAGAGGTGAGAATTTGAAGTGGAGCATAAAGTGTTAATGTAAAACTCTAGACTCAAGCTCTTCCCAGGAAGATTAAGGTCAAGATGGTCGGGTCCCTATGCTTTCACAAAGGTTTTGTCATATGGAGTTATAAAAATCAGCCATGAAACTAAGGGTACCTTTACAGTTAATGGGCAAAGGCTGAAACACTACTAGGTCGGTGACTTCTCCAAGCAAAAGTCGACCGTTCAACGTGGGACACTAGAATGAAGCAGCTACGGAAAAGTCGAGTTATCGACTATAAACTAGCGCTGGGTGGAAAGCAACCCACTCTATCCTTTTAATTTATTTTGCCTTTTACATTAGCTTAGGAACCTTTCAATTTCACGTTCACATTTTTCTTTTTTGATAATTAGGTCATCGATCAACCATGCATGTCAAAATAGTCTAAACACTATCCACACGAAGCCCTATGCATCTAACGTGAGTTGGGATTGATTTGAGTGTTTTGGGTGTGACAATCACGCATTTCAAGGCATAATGTTGTTTTTCAAAAAATTTCTGGGATTATGGTGTGATTTCGATTCAAAAAACTGGTTTTGACACTAAGTCTATGGCTAGCACATACCCCGAGTTGGGTAAAATATTTTCGCATGTGAGAGGCCGGATCAATTCACCAATCGAAAATCACATTTGGGACATATTTGATTAAATTCGTGTGTGTGGAATCAAATGTATTTTCAAAATTTTTAGGTACATATTCTTAATAAAAAAAATCAAAAACAATTTTTTATAAAAACTCACTCACGTACATATCTCACAACACACACGGCCAACACGCACGCACGCACATGGCACACAAACACAAACACGAAATTCACAACTCACGACATAAAATCAACACTACACACACAAGAACTCATCTAACAAATAAGATTGGTTGGCCAATTCAATCCATTGCATTCAACTTCTTCAAGGAATTCAAGGTATGCACTTTTCTCCTATCTCTTCTCTTCACATTTTGAGCCGACAATTTCATTCGGATTTCCTATGCATATTGAGAAGTTTGGTGAAATCAATAATGGTTTAATAGGTTTGTGTTGTGATGAAAAAATAAAATGGGACTTTGATTCAAACATTGCTCTCTTGCAACTTTAGAAAAAATTAAGTGCCTTCAAGATGTTTGATAAATTGCCTAAGAAGAGATTATTGGGTGAGTAGGGAGAGTCTCGTAATTGGAAGCAATGATACATGTTGGAGATTGTTTTTGTTGTTGACATTCATAGAAATTACATTAGAAACACCAAAAATTTGAATTGTACACCCTAGGCACCAAACTTCATCCCCCACTCGTCTAGCCCAAACAACCTCCGTTTAACCTCAAATTTGAGCATGAGTTAGATCATCATGTGAACTTTCATATACCCAGAGATCGTTTGGGAAAAGTTCAATCTTTTCTAAAGTCGTCAGGTGGTGAAAATCCTTAGTCGGTTTTGGGGGTATAAACATGAGATCAATATTTTTTATGTTGGTTTAGGGAAGGTAAGTTGTATTATATTCATTTATTAGATACATACCCTATATAATGACATTTTCTCAAGCATGGTATATGTAAATTTTGGTAAATGAGAATTGGCATGGTTTGGGGGTATTCTCCACTTCACCTTACTCATATGTTTATTACCTATATGCTTACATTTTCTATATTCATATGTAGGTACAAAATGCCACCAAAAAGGAAGGTCACAACTCAAGAGAAAGGAAAGTCTAAAGTCGACAAAACCTCGACCTGATGCCAACAGGCAACAGAAAATCTAGATGACAGGGATATTCCATGATTTGTGAATGTTGAGAATCGTGATAATTTTGAGACAAAGTGGAATGATAAGAAAGTTTATCAAGAACACCAAGTCACACTTAGTGATTTTGGAGAAACGTTATTGGAGAGAATCATACACCATTGAGGGTGGAACAAAGTTATTGATACACCTCATGCGACATATCCTACATTGGTAAAGGAATTGTTCGCCAACTACAATGTTGATATTGATAACCCAGAATCCCCACACAGAAGTTAAACATGGGTTAGAGGAAAATGGATTCTGTTCAGCCAGCAGCAATTAACAGATATTATAGTTTGGATCACACTCATGTAGAGCCAGTACTAGAGGAGCAAGACATGGCACTGGTAGCACATTTTCTATATTGTAAAGAGGTTGATTGGCCACTTAATTCATCTCGATTCCTATATAATGAGTTGACTCCAGAGCTTTTGCACATCATCTTCTGCACCAACATTTACCCTACATCCCAAAGGATGAAATTTAATGAAGAAAGGGCGAGGTTATCTTATCATATGGCAAGAGTGCATAAGTTCGACCTGGGAGCCCATATAAATGCCTTTAT